TTTTGTATTTCTGTTTTAAACCCATAACTGAAAACAAATCTTATAGCCACATACGAAAAAAGAAATATGAGAATATGGGCTACTTGTTTTGCAAGATTGCGTCAAGCTGGAGGAGCCACTCAAGCACTTAAAATTCTCCCATTTTTAGATTAAGTACATTAGCATCAAGGAAGCATTTTGTTTTGGGCTGATCTGAAGCAGCTGGTTACCTGAGCGATCTAAGAAAATACCCAATATGTTTATAAAGGGTTTTTTCTCGAGGCTATGGCCAGGGTGCAAACTACAGGGGAGCCAGGGGGAGCTTTACTCCTCTTAATAAGACTGAAAACATGACTTGTGATATTTTGGGGGGTCTCTAAAATATCAACAATATGCTATTTTTTCCATTCATTTCTATTTTTTTGTAGGCTATCCTCATGGATCATGCAAATCAGTAGCATCAGGCTTCATCCATCCAGAGGAATCACCAACCGTCTGCAGAGCCCCAGGTCGCTCCCGCAAACTCCTCTCTCTCGCCCTGTACGCTCCAGCGCCCGCTCCCTCTCTGGCGATAGACCTATGAGTTGTGTTGCCAGTGGAACTGGCGCACTGGACGGTCAGTGGTCGTTCCCTCTGGCTGGATGAAGTCCGATGCTCCTAATCCTGTTCTCCGCAGCGCCACCCACCTTTCGAAATTCTTCCATCTCAGAAAATAAAGGTCAGGACGAAACAGTGTAGCCAAGAGAGGCTGAATGAAAATTACCTGCTGCAACCTCCGGTACTGCAGCTATATGATATTGTCCTGTTTTTCTAACTAAAAACCCACCCACCCAGCTCATCTTAATCTACATTTAATCAGGCACTGCCACCACCCAAGTGGATCTGCTGCCGGTTTATCAAGTGTAACGCACAAAGCTACAAAATTCTGACTCATTAAATATTAAAATCAATATTTTTCCGTTTTGGTTTTAAAACAGAAAAAACAAAAAGACTTGTTTTTTAGTTTTTTCTGGTTTTCTGATTTGATTTTGAAATGAAATAGTCAAAGAACAAACCATACATGGATTCAAGCTACACTTTTTATTTAAATTTTCTGAAAACACATGTTGATACCAATACGTTAGGGTACTGAATGAAAAAAGCTTGGTTTGTTTCATTTAGTGCATCCTGAGTGGTAATCATCATCCATGCACTACTGCAGCTGGGGGCTCTCCACAGCGCCACACAACTTTCTACATTCTTCCATCTCACGGAGAAAAGTCAGGTCGAGCGAAATTTGCTTTATTAGCATGAATGTTAATACAACAGTTTTGCCAAAGCTAAAGGGAAATACAAAAAACAATTCAATTCATAGTAGTTCATCGAAATAAATAAAATAGTATTTCTATATATTGGACATAGAATAATTTTATCTAATATTGTTAATGTCTCAAAGTTTTCTTTCATTACGGCTGTGTCTTCTTCTGGCAACGATAACAGCAGCCATCTCTGCGCAACACTTGGCGGGTTGCAGCTTCCTTTCAAACATATTAAATACAGATGCTGTTGTATTCACATGAAATTGCTTATAGGCTTGGTAAATCACATTGCGTGTAGTAAATAAATGTATTTGCATGTTACCCTCCCACTAATTTGCACAATAAAATTGAATCGCCCCAAATTGCATATTCATTAAGTATTAAATTAACAACAGGCTTATCCTACACTTTTGTAAGACATCATTCTACGTGCACACTGTAGATCAGATAATTGTGCACAGATTGGTAGAGTTTCAACCACCCTTAGTCATAAGACTAAAGTTACCAACATTTTCAACTAATTATATCTGCCCCATTTTTAGCCATAATCAAAGCTGATACCTGAATAATATTCATATATTCACTTCCTCCTCTGAGTAAAACTGCAGGAGGTCAATGAATGTCTTCTGGACAACTATTAAGTCAGTAGTCTTCCCCATGACTGAACGAGACTGAGAGATTAAAGCCTCTTCTCAGGTTGACATTTAATTCTTTATTCTAATATTCTAACATTTTGAGATGTGGATTTTTTATTTCCGTGTAATCATCAAGATTATACAAATAAAGGCCTGTAATATTTCACTGTATATCTTATGAATATAGAATTTTTTTTCCAAACGTCTCATCATGAACAACTTTTTCATGATATTCTGATTTTCTGAGATGCACCTGTACTCTCGTGTTTTAATCTCACACAGGGTGTGCCGATGAGGCTTGTAGATATGTAGGTAGATGGCTTGGTCGGAAAGTGAAACTTAAATTCCTCCTAGCATTGTTTCCTTGCTACCTTTCTTCATAATGTGTACTCCTTTCTGTTGTTTAAACGGTTCACTTAATTTATGCGCTTATGCACAACATGGACACAGTGTCTGTATGCTCCTTCAGAGTATTGAGTTATTATATATATCATACTGTGACCGCGAAGTATTTCCGCCCACATAGTTGTATGTGGATTGACAATGCATTTGCATTTACACTTGTGTTCGATGTGGTCACCTCTCTGACCTCCTTTCTTTTCCACCTTTGTTTGCAAACCAATAAATCACAATCAACAGTCAAATAGCACACATGTCTCGCTGATGTCCGCCTGAGTTCGTACGTCGGCATTAAATGTATTGCTTAGAAACAGCAGCCAGCGTGCAGCGGTGTGTTTACAGCAAACAGCTGATGGAGTTAAGCTAAATACTGGGTCCAGAGTTGTTGTTTGAAGTTTTCATCAGTCAGGAAGTTTTTACACAGAGTTGAGAGATATATATATATATATATATGGCAGCAATGAAGTCAAAGTTTGAGATAAATCAGCTCTTTTTACTAGTTAGACTCATCACAAATGACAACCATAGACTGTATATAAAAATGGACGGAGTGTCCGTGACGTCACCCGTTGGTTTCTGAAGAGCAGTATTGAAGCCCGAATTGGGCAGAGTCGTCGCCATCTTGGCAGTGCGTCACCTCGCGCCTCTTCCGGGTAACCAAAAATGGGCAAAGAGGCTGGTCGTGGGTGGAGCTGAGGTGACGTGTTGCTGAAACAACTTCCGCCTAGCTCGACATGAACGGGTGAGCTCAAGCTAAGGAGCTAATGCTATATGCTAATCTGCGTTAGCAGAGGTAGCTTCTGCACCCCTGGTCATGTTGCTAAGCAATATGCATCAAAGACTAGAATTATTATAACTATTTATTTATATCTATTTCCATGTTGCCCTTTGTCGTGCAGCCACTAAATATCTGTCCAGCGTCAGTAGATTGACTTTGGTAACTTAAACTTGGCCATATGATAATGTGCTTGCTTCTTTGTGCTGGCGGCCAGCATTCTGTAAAATAACACTTTAATATACCTACCATTAGGGGCGTCTCTCCTTCAGCAATAGTCTTCTGAACAGGCTATTGAAATTTAAACTTTGTTGCAACATCACAGGGCGGCGCGGTGGTAAAGTGGTTAGCACAGCAAGAAGGTATAGAAGGTTCAAACCCCGGCCTTTCTGTGTGGAGTTTGCATGTTCTCCCCGTGTCCGCATGGGTTCTCTTCAGGTGCTCCGGCTTCCTCCTGGCATCCATAGACATGCAGGCTAGGTAAATTGGTGTCTCCAAAATTGTCCTTGGGTGTGAGTGGTTGTTTGTCTATGTGTGGCCCTGCGATGGACTGGCGACCTGTCCAGGGTGTACCCCCGCCTTTTGCCAGATTGGCTCCAGCCCCCCCACTGTACACAGGATAAGCGGATGGATGGATGGATAAGTTAACAAGCTAAATGTCGACAGCGATACCTGTTAAATATTGTTTACACATAAATAAAATACAAGAATTTCACTCACCAACTGGAGGTCATGGAGGTTCTCTCTCCAATAAACCGCACAGCCTGCCATTATTCATCGTGTATCTGCAATGTCCAAAAGGCTCAAACAGGCTGAGCCTCAGAGCTCCGTGTATTAGTTGAATGAGGTTAACAGAAGGCAGTGCCTCAGCTAGGAGTGATAGCAACCAGAGCTGCCTGTCAATCAAAGCTGCCACGCCCCTAATAATGCAGAACTTTCAAGCTTAATATAATTTAAACAGGTAAGTTATAAAAAAAAATATGAAAAAATTCACCCCCCTCACAGTTGTCACGAAGGGCTACACTTAAACCATTTTTTGAACCAGGCTGCATACATGCTTTATTCTGCTGTAAAGTTGGGCATTTTAACATGGGGGTCAATGGAGATTGACTCCCTTCTGCACCCACCCTCAGGTGGCCACTCGATGAATTGCAGGTTTTCGGTCTTCCGGGAATGGCCTCAAACCGGAGACCGGAAGTTTGCTGCTTGGTCATAACACTGTGTATAAGCTTTAACGTTCACCAAATGTAACAAAGATTAGCCAAGTAGCCTTAATCACATAAATAAATTGATTTATAAGTTATACAAATTAATCATTACATAGCATTCTAAGTAATAATGGATATGGATAAGTGGCAGAAATACGACAAGTATGAATTATGTTCAACATTTAGGCTACACTATTTATTAATTTATTAAGTTTAGCTATCGTTAAAATGACAGTTAAAAACAGACATTTTATTTTGAAGGCGACCGGTTTACACTTTCTTGTTCAATTTTCATTGTACAAGTTAGATGGTGGAACAAGTTGACACTTAATTGCATTGCACGTCTTCATTCAATGCGACAATAACAGCGTAGTGCTAACACTGTTTACGCAGCATCGGCTCTGGAAAAATGAACTCACACTGTTCAATAAACATTTGCTTTAGCGCAAGTAGGACATACTGGCTGATTTCATCATACAACTGATGAATTATACTTCACGCACGGACCTTCAAGGAAGTATTTTCTTTTAAAGTCATCTAGTATTTCTAGTAATACATAAACAAACTGTATTTAAGACACACCTAGATTCACTGAGAACTTTGGCATCCTGTCATCTTTTGACAAGCTCTGTTTAAATTGTTTAACCCGATAAAGCTTACAGTGTTTCTCTTTTAACCCTAAATGGGTACGCTGTTAAAATGGAAACACCCAATCCCTGAGGTATGCATGTATTCAACGTCTGTGCGGTGTGTATAAAAGGTGCAGTATCATCATCACCACAGAAAACTGATCCACAGTACTTACCTGATCATCATTATGAAGCCGATCCTTTCTCTGACTCTCATCTGGGCGCTCTCCAGCACAGGTAACTCCACTTATTATCACATTAGAGTTTCTGCAGGAAGCAAAATTTAAAGTTTTGAAGACATTAATTTTGCCTGAAAGCTTTTTTTTTTTGTTGAAAACATTAAAAATCTTAATATTAACAGATTATTATTTTTAAATTAACCAGATCCAAAACTTTTAGACTTTATTGATCCTACTGAAAAAAGATTGGAAAGAACTACTGTTTGTAACAGCCATTGTGTCTTTTTAAATGCTTCTGCACAACAAGAAGAAAAACATGTTTCAACTTTTATAGATCATCAAAACCTGTAACCCTAAACTCATCAGACGTTTCATTTGACATTTGACTTGTGATGTGATCACTGAATTAACAGTTTTTCTCCCCATTGCAGCTGGAGCACTTCTGTGTCAAACCTGCACAAATCCAGACTGTTCAACCACAGAACTATTAACATGTCTGACAGAGACCATGTGTGCGACAGCTTCGATTCAAAGTAATGTTTTCTTCATGTGATCTCTTACTTATCAGTGAAATACATTTAATGCCAGTTATGTGTTCTGACTTCCAACATTAACAAACTGCACTTTGATTTTGTAGACACTTCAGTTGGAGTTACAGTCTCACAAATCGTCAAGGCGTGTGCACCATCCTCCGTGTGTCCAGCTACAGGCTCTCGGACATTTTCATTTAACACGGGTGTTGTGAGAGTAATTGCATCTTTTCAGTGCTGCAACACAGATAACTGCAACACAGAAACTCTACCTTGTAAGTCCAAATTGATAAGTAGCTCATTTAATTTAAGAAAAGATACTACATAAAAAACAGAACAAAGAACACTGGCCTCCTGCGATCTACTGACACTTTCTACTTTGTGATACAAATGTTTTCTCTTCCTCAAATGAATGATGTCGTTCTTTTCTGTTTCAGCCCCTGGTCCTCAGCCAAACAGCCTAAAGTGTTTCACTTGTAACCCCTTCACCTCTCAATGCAACTCTAAATTAGATTGTCAGGGAGTGGAGGACCGCTGCGTAAAATTTAATGGTGAGTCTTTATGATAAATAATTGAACATAGTTTGTCTCCACATGGATTGTGAGGTAATTGCGAGGTGTGGAAAATCAACCATTGGTGGAAAGTAATGGTGAGATTTTGGTACTTTTACTTTCATTTCAAAGGTACAGTTTCAAGGTTTCATTTCAAAGGTACAGTATTGTACTTTCACTGTACTACATTTGTATGACAGCTATGGCGGCTGCACTATACGGATTAAGATTTTATGCGATATTTTACAAGAACGTTATAGATCCAACAAGCCCGCAGTAGGTAAAGTAGCACTAATATAAGTTCCATCCTGACCAGTTACACAGCATTAACTAGAAGCTGTCTGGTGAGACTCACGTAATTGACATTTTTCACATGCTGTCATGCCACACATCAATTTTCTCACACAGTGAAAAACAAATCTATGTATAACTGATAAAGTCGACTCACTGAGCGAATTAACTCTTCCCAGCTGATGCGACACTGGCCTATGCTGTGATAGTAATCAAGTAAACCTGCTCTGCCTGTGAGTCCAGATGGTTCGGTCTGAAGAGGAAACTACCATATGAGCAGAGCAAGAATGTGTAATGTGTAGGGCAGGTAGACTTTTAAAAATATTATGAATTGTCATTGATGGTGTTAGTCTTGAAATATTACACCTTTTTCTCGACATGTCACAGATATGTGGGAGAGATTTTGAATGTGCAGAATATTGTGAGCATGAGCACATAAAATTAAATAATTTATCACTGAAGTGAAAAGGTGCCACATGCACATTTAAAGAGGTTACTTCTCCAAAGAAAAGACACAAAAAAGAGGGAAGACTAAATCATGCCTACATGTGTGTTGATTCAGCAGGGATGATATTACATGAGAAAAGTTGATCTACAGGAGAAACCAGATCTGTAAGCAACACAAAATGCCCAAGAGCTGCACAAAATTTTATTCTGATATGGTTTTAAATTTTGAATTCTCACCTGCCACCTAAATTTTGTTTCTTTTACATAAATAAAAACATTTCCACCATACATTGGTGCTGAAAAATTCACCAGAACACAGGAAATGAAGTGTTCTTTGTGAATTTTCATATAATTCAGCATTGGAGAGTTCTTAAAAATAGCGTTAAAATCTCGTCTCGTTCTCGTGAACCCAATCACGTGTCTCGTAAGTGCTTAACCGTGTAAATTTGAATGAATCAACTAAAGTAACGCAGATCAAAATCCCATCCTTTCTTTACTGAACACTTCTGTGTTTTGGCGCTTCAGCCTGCTCTGTTGTTGCAGTGCTGCGCTCCTGTACCACAGCTTGGCTGTACACTTTGAGCATTTTGCTGCAAATGCAAAAAAAATTTGTGTGATCAGTTAAAGACTTTAACCGCTCTTTAAGTGAGGTAATAAAAATAACATGTTCAACTGCTGAAAAACTCCCAGGAATGGGATCACGCAGTCCGTCATTCAGCAATTGGAACAGCAGTGGACTTGATGACAGCCGGACCCGTTAGCGGGTGGGACCTCACATCTCCGAAAACGTTGTAGCAATTTTTTAAATCAGCTCTGTCTTGAGAAATCAACCACATATAGTTAAACAGCTATATTCCCGCATATAAAACTCTTAAAACTACTATATGTGACACAAGAACAGCATTATTATAAGTTACAGTTTGGAGTTTTCTCATCCGACATTTCCGCTTTTTGGCGGCGAAATGCATTCTGGGATATCTGCCAATCCGAAGTCCACACAAGTCACCCCCGATGCAGGCTCAGTAACACGGGCATAGCGAGAACACATCCGGGTATTTGACTGTACTTGGCCAGATGCAGACTTTTGAATTGGAACACTACTTTGGCTGCGACTGATGACGTTTCACAAGTCCACGAGAACGCAGATTGAGAAACAGCCAAAATCTTCCATTCTAATAGAAAATGAAATAACACTGACCATGTTTGTGTTAAAATAAATGGTAGAGCTATTGAGAGAGTTCCCCAAATTCCTGGGCATACATATCGATGGGTTTATGAACTGACGAAAAAAATGTCTAAATATGTTATTATTTTTCAAATTGAGACATTTTCTTCCATTCAAAGCAATCATAACTTTATACAGGTCTTTATTTGAGCCCAACTTAAATTACTGCAATGTCACATGGTGCAATACTTGTTGGAAGATGTGAATATTTCCTGAAGTTACTCAATTAACAAAAATATCTATATAATACTATAGTAAAACATTGTTTTTTTTTTAATCTTTAGTGACGAATGGAGCCACTAATTCTTCAGTCTTTGGCTGTGCATCTGCAAACCTGTGTACGCTTACTGCCAAACAGAGTTTCCTACCTTCCTTGCAAAGTGTTGGTAACATCACCAGTGGACCATTCTGTTGTGGGACCAGTTTGTGTAATGCTGTTACAACAATTGCCAGTGACGCCGGCTGTATGAGTCTGCTGCTCGGAGTCCTCATCTTTACCCTCCGTTTTTTTGAAGCCTGATTTTGGGTTTACTGCTCACTTACATGTGAAGTTGGCAGTTAGTGGGGCTAGAAAATCCAAATTAGGAAATCAGGGATGGAGTCTGGATGAAGCTGAGGTGGGACTCAAAGGCAGCAATGAAATAGACACACAAACTACCTTTTTCATGGCTTTAATTTACTGGGTACATAATCAAAATAAATAATAGAGTTTTTAATCAAACCTAATTGAATTCTGTATAAATTAACTGTATAACAGTATATTAAAGTTGAGATTTTGTTGCAAATTGTACAATTATATTACTCCATTTTAGAACAATACAAATATTTGATATTAATGTAAGACTCAATATGAGAAGGAAAAAAATATTTTTATGTCATTATTGTACACATCTTTAATTATTGTTAACCTTTTTTGTATCTTATTATCAATTTTATATTTATGATTTTTGATATGCAGTATTACCTCTGTCTTTATCTGTCTTATATTTTTATTTACTATGTTTATTATTAAGCACCAAAACACCAAAGCAAATTCTTTGCATGTGAACCGACTTACCAATAAAGCTGACTTTATTTAAAACAAAATATGTTTTTATGACGTTATTTCATACTTTAAGTGGACTCTGTGTCATCTGGAGACTCTTCTGCTCTGATATTGTCACAGTACAGGTGCAGAATTCAAATCAATAAATTGCCAGTCAGCAGTGTTGGGCAGTAACGCTTTACTCAGTAATACGTTAGTGTTGACACTGACGAGGAGGCTAAACAGCATTGGTGTCAGTCAGGAGTGAGGTTTAGTCACTGCACAGCCTCACTGGCTTCCATCACACGGGCTTATACAGTATAAAACCCAAAGCAAGGCAAGTCTAAATTTTAAAAATTAATGAAATGATTTATGTCGGTTATTGTGAACGTTTAGCATAGCCCAAACATTTGTCGTTTTTTTACTCTGCATGTCACAATGTTTGTAGGTGCGGGCGGGAGTGGATACATATGTTGTGGGAATGGGCGGTAGAGGAATACACATGTTGCGAGAGTGGGCGGTAATGGTCACAAAATCGGCGGGAGCAGGATAAAAAAAAAACTCCCGCGCAGGTCTCTACTTCAGACCTCCAGACGTCACAAAGGTTTCGGTGACAGGACGGTGTTCGCTCACCCGTTGGCACAGGCTGGTGTTGGTGATGGCAGCTCAGCTGTCCTACCCCCTCATCCTGCTTTTATGCCTACGCCTCTTTTAGGTCGAGGGTGATTACTCTCTCAGGCTTCTTTCCTCCCCCCCATGGGTCTGAGGACAAAGCTACGTCCCACCTCTTCTGCCCTGTGTGCACGCTGTCCTGCTATGTGGCCTGCACGGCTGGCTGGTGCCATTCCATCCAGCACAAGAGGCGTCTCTTCCTCTGTGGCATTGCACAGTTGGATAACATCAAGGCGTACTCCACAAGAGGCGTCTCCTCCTCCTCTGTGGCATTGCACGGTTGGATGATGGTGGACGACATCTGAGTAGGGAGACATCTTTGTGCTGGATAAATTTGCGTTCTTTTGTCTGCTCAGGAAGAGCCATTGAGTGTATGCTAACACTCTAGACGTGCCATTTGTCTTTCTCAGTTTCGTTATACTATAATAACACATCTTAGAAAGACATTGCAGATGTTTCCATTTAAAGTTAGAAATTTTTGAGGTGTGGTAAGTGATTGTTCCAGACATTATGTCCCACTAAGAAGGGAAAATAAGTGGGTATGAGATGATAAATATATAAAATGACATGACATGATGACTGTTCACACACCTGTGACTGGAAAAGGCGCACAACCTGGGGCCTCACTGTGCAGTCTGAGACAGGTCAGAGTAGTGAGCAGCACACAAGTACACCACTGATGAGTGATAAACCTGTATTTACATACCAACATTATGTTAACAATGCTGCTCCCTCATGCCCCTACAGCAACAAAATATGTTTTTTAAATGATTAGCATTTCTTCCGGGCACATTCCTGACACATTTGAAACAGCCGTCAGACCTCCACGTAGAAACACAGTCACACTTCATTGGGAAAGGTTCCATTTGTGAAATGTTTCCAGTCGCCGTGCAACTCCCCCATCCTGCCTGTACAGAAAAGGGGTGTGTGGCCAGTTTTTCAACTAAATTAATGAATGTGGGAAAGCTAATGTCACATGTTCTGCCAGCTTCATGTTGTGTTTTTCATCCTGACTCATGATTCGGTTCTGTTTTCCAAATTTTTTTTGCAATGGGTGGTGATGATATATTTGTGTGTTTCTAAGTCCCATAGATTTACTCTGCTGAAACATGAGATGGCTTTGGATTACATTTTGGCTAAAACTGGAGGGTTATGTGTGACTAAATTTAACAGAGGAAGCATGTGTTACACTTATCCCTGACAATTCAGACAATATTACTACTGTAATCACAGCATTTGAGAAAATTCTGAATGAATTCGGCCCTTCTAACTCAGCGGGTTTTAGTTTCAACCAATGGTTAAATGACCAATTGGGCCCTTGGGGTGCTTTGATCATCCATGTCTTATTTCCTGTTCTAATTGTTCTTGGGATCATTTATGCGAGCTTCACTGTACAAATGGATAAATGGGGAAATTGGAGGAGACAGAACTCCACTGTATGTGAAGACACCACTTGAGCAAAGTAAAGATTACAACCCAGATTCATACTTTATATCACAATGGGCCCCAGGAAACCCATACAGTGAAGGCGAGTCAGATGGTGAGAGGGTATAGTTCTAACTTTTTTGTTTTTTGTGTGTTGCTTGTTTTCTTTTTTACCTGTCTCTTCCTTGCCTGGCTGACGTGTTTTAGCACCTTTTCCCTCCGTCAGACTGATGCCTCTTTCCCACTGTTGTCAGAGTATGTTGGGTGGTCAGTAGAACACACATTACAGGCAGTGAAATTGAAAACAGACGGAGCAACTTCAGGCTTCAGTCTTTTGGTCCGGCGAACAACTAGTTTACCTACTAGTGTGTGTGATAAAAAATGTAATAAAGTAAATAAAAAAACCAGTAAGCGTGTGTGTGTGTTAAAAAATATATACATTAAAAATAAAATAAATAAAACAGTAAGCGTGTGTGTGTGTTAAAAAATATATACATTAAAAATAAAATAAATAAAACAGTAAGAGTGTGTGTATGTGTTAAAAAAATAAAATAAAACAGTAAGCGTGTGTTTGTGTGTGTGTGTTAAAAAATATATATTAAAAATAAAATAAATAAAACAGTAAGCGTGTGTGTGTGGGTTAAAAAAATATAAAAATATAAATAAAATAAATAAATAAAACAGTAAGCGTGTGTTTGTGTGTGTGTGTTCAAAACAAAAATATTAAAAAAAAGAAAAAAAAAAAAAAAAGAAACAGTAATGTGTGTGTGTGTGTTTATATATTAATAGACAAAAAATTTATTTTAAATAATAAATTTATTAAAAATAATAATAACTTAAAAAAATCTGTGTCAAATGTAAAAACAAAACAATTACTAAAATATCAAATGATCAAAATAATAATGAAAATCTGTACAATTATTAATCAGTCTGAGGTTCCTCTGGTTGTTCTCACTTCATGGCATGAGGAGACATATTTTACAGCAATTATTTCACATTTGGGCATTTCTTCCAGTAAATAGGGGAGTTTCTGTGTGTCTGATATGAATCTCTGTCTTTCACTATCTCTGTCTTTCACTATCTGTCTTTCACTATCTCTTTCTCTATCTCTATCTTTCACTATCTCTGTCTTTCACTATCTCTGTCTTTCACTATCTGTTTATCTCTATCTTTCACTATCTCTGTCTTTCACTATCTCTCTTTCACTGTCTCTTTCTCTCACTATCTCTCTTTCACTGTCTCTTTCTCTATCTCTATCTTTCACTATCTGTCTTTCACTATCTCTGTCTTTCACTATCTATCTTTCACTATCTCTTTCTCTATCTTTCACTATCTCTTTCTCTATCTTTCACTATCTCTTTCTCTATCTTTCACTATCTCTTTCTCTATCTCTATATTTCACTATCTCTGTCTTTCACTATCTCTCTTTCACTGTCTCTTTCTCTATCTTTCACTATCTGTCTTTCACTATCTATCTTTCACTATCTTTGTTTTTCACTATCTTTGTCTTTCACTATCTCTCTTTCACTGTCTCCATCGCCTAGTGCTTGCTCTTGGTGGGAAAAAAGTATGTATGTAGAGTACGGTCTAGACCTGTTCTTTCATGAAAAGCGCTGTGAGATAACTGTTGTGATTTGGCGCTATATAAATAAAATTGAATTGAATTGTCTCTTTCACTATCTCTGTCTTTCACTATCTCAATCTTTCACGATCTCTATCTTTCATTATCTCTATCTTTCACTATCTCTCTTTCATTGTCTCTATCACTATCTCTATCTTTCACTATGTCTTTCACTATCTCTGTCTTTACTGGTCTCACTATCTCTCTCTTTCACTATCTCTTACTTTCACTGTCTCTTTCACTATCTCTATCTTTCACTATCTCTGTCTTTAACTGTCTCTTTCCCTAAATCTCTTTCACTATCTCTGTCTTTCACTGTCTCTTTCACTATCGCTGTCTTTCACTATCTCTATCTTTCACTATCTCTCTTTCACTGTCTGTCTTTCGTTATCTTTGTCTTTAACTATCTCTGTCTTTCACTATCTCTTACTTTCACTGTCTCTTTCACTTTCTCTGTCTTTAACTGTGTCTTTCCCTAAATCTCTTTCACTATCTCTGTCTTTCACTGTCTCTTTCACTATCGCTGTCTTTCACTATCTCTCTTTCACTGTCTCTTTCACTATCTCTGTCTTTCGCTATCTCCGTCTTTTGTTATCTTTGTCTTTCACTATCACTGTTTTTCACTATCTCTATCTTTCACTATCTCTCTTTCGCTATCTTTGTCTTTTACTATCTATATCTTTCACTATCTCTCTTCCACTGTCTTTCACTATCTATCTTTCACTATGTCTGTCTTTAACTGTCTCTGTCTTTCGCTATCTTTGTCTTTCACTATCTTTGTCTTTCACTATCTCTATCGTTCACTATCTCTGTCTTTCACTGTCTCTTTCACTATCTCTCTCTTTCACTATCTCTCTTTCACTGTCTCTTTCACCATCTCTGTCTTTCACTGTCTCTTTCACTATATATGTCTTTCACTATCTCTCTTTTACTATCTCTGTCTTTCACTGTCTCTTTCACTATATATGTCTTTCAATATCTCTCTTTTACTATCTCTGTCTTTCACTATCTCTCTTTCACTATCTCTGTCTTTCACTGACTCTGTCTTTCACTGTCTCTGTCTTTCGCTATCTCTGTCTTTAGCTATCTCTGTCTTTCACTATCTCTGTCTTTCACTGTGTTTTTGTTGCCAACCAACCCCGTGACATCACAGGTTATAATACCGGACAATGGTGGCGCCCTTGCAGCAAAAGATATAACAGGGCTTCTTTTTTCTTTTATATGTTTACAATTGTCATGTTTCTTATATAATTGTTAATTATAGTAGAAATCCATTTTGTAAATCATGTAAACTTGATTGACTGCTTCATTTTACCTTTAACCTTGAACCTCCAAAAGGACTTC